TATATTTGTTCCCCGTTTGTTTGTTGCAATTTAATTTTATGATAATTATTTTAAGTTCTAAATCTCTTTAATGAATTAAAAAAAGATGATCTGTTCCTCATGACGAAGAGTAATCCAATTACTGATCAGTTATATTTTATGTGTATAATTTACGTGTCAAACTCAGGCCCGGGGGCCCCACGCGATCATATCAAATGTGTACTACAGTTGGCCCGCCAGTATTCAGGCCCTATGTACTGGCAGGATTTGTAGTTTAACAGTTTTATTTCATGTTTTAACATCATGACTATTATCATATTCTCCAGTGTCAGTTTCCAGCAGCTATTAGAAGAGATGTATTTTTAATGACAGCACACATGTGTCCTCCTCCACCCTCAGACTGGTCAGGACCACAGTGCTATGCAGAGAATGCTGAGCTCCAGAACCATGGAGCAGCAGCAGCAGCAGCAGCAGCAGCTCATCTCTCCTTCATCCAATCCAGTGTCACGATCCTCCGACCTGGCCTGCGCTCCTTCTCGCCAGGAACGCCACCGTGTTTCCAGTTACTCCGCCGAAGCGCTAATCGGTAAAAGCTCCACTAGTGGTGAACAGCAGCAGCGCATGGGCCTCCACCTTCAGCCTGGCCACAGCTCCACCCAGGAGCAGCCAGAACTCTGTGGATACCTGGAACCGTCACGAGGGAAGGCCGGCATCGCACACAACCCGCAGACCCGCCTGCCGGCCGATCATCAGGGTTCTGCTGATGTTCAGCGGGTCTCGGAGTGTCCACCCTTCAAGACTATGGGTGGGGGGGGTCATCAGCTCGGGGGCTTTGAGCCTCAGGTCGTACCAAAGGCAGTGCCTCCACCACAGAGGGGCCCTCAGGGGCAGCAGCAGGGTGGATTCAGGATGAACGTGGGCCCACCCACAGATGTCAGGAACCGTGGTGGTTACAGTGGAGCCCATTCTGGTGGAGCACAGGGGGGTTCAGTGGGACCCTCACTGTCCAGGGAACAGGAGGGCTGTCACCAGAGCTTCATGCAGAGCCTCCTGTCACCCCACCTGCCTGAACAGAACACCCACCAGCGGGCGGTGCAGTGCTGTCCACCGGTCAGCATGGAGTACAGCTGTGTGACTGGAAGCTCTGCGGCTGACATACAGGCCAAGGCCTCCAGCCCCAGTGTGCCTCAGACCCAGAAGGCTCCAGGTATGCGTCTGGGGGAGGGCAACAAAGGCCATATTTCTCAGGTTAGCACTAACATGCACGGAGGCCAAGGAATGCGGACAGGCCTGCCCCACCCGCCACCCCCACACAGCAGCTCGGAGCCAGGCCGGTCCTCCGCCCCCTCCAGACCACCGACCGCTGTCACCCAGCAATCTCGCCACCTGGCCCGTGACACTCAGTCCACCAAACTGAGACCTGGTGACCGGCCCCGGTCTGGTACGCTGAGACCAAGTAATCCCTTTGAATCGGAGGGCCACCTGCCCCTGCCCTCTGGAGGAGGGGTGCTGCTGGGCAGACCACAGTCTGGGGGAGAGGCGCGGCGCAGCACTATCGTTCGCTTTACGGCAGACAGCCCTCAGGTTCCCAGTGAAAACAACCTGGTTCCTGATCAACACTTGACACAGAACTTTGGCTTTCCTTTTATTCCCGACGGTGGAATGAATCCTCCTCCTCCCATCAACGCCAACTCCACGTTCATCCCTCCAGTCAGCCAGCCCAGCTCTTCCCGCACTCCCTCCCTCCTCCCTGTGGAGCCCCAGAACACTCTGCCCTCCTTCTACCCCTCCTACTCTCCAGCGGCCCACCCCAGCCTGCCCAGTGACGTCACCCTCCAATACTTTCCTAACCAAATGTTTACCAGCCCAAGTGCCGACAAAGGCAGCGCTCCTCCTCCGCCTCCGCTCAACAACCGCTTTGGCTCAATCCTCTCGCCGCCACGCCCTGTGGGTTTTGGTCAGGCTAGTTTCTCTTTACTCCCAGACATGCCCCCCATGCCAATCGCCAACTCTTCAGGAATCACACCTCACATTTCCAACTTCAGCTTCACCTCCCTGTTCCCCGAGATCGCCACTGGCATGCCCACCGACGGCTCGGCCATGCCCATGTCGCCCCTGCTGTCGCTCTCCAACACCTCATCTGCAGATTCGAGCAAGCAGCCCAATCGTCCTGCCCACAACATCAGCCACATACTAGGCCATGACGGCAGCTCGGCCGTGTGAGGAGAAACTCCTGCTGCTCATCCATCAGCTGCTCCTTTGGAGATTTGACTCTTTTTTTCTAGTGATGTTTCTCTTGTTTACATGTTACCCAATTTCAGTTCTATGTTCCTTTCTATGTTCCAGAATTTGATTTTTGTTTTTATGGAGAAAGAATGTATCTTTGTTTAAAACGGTTGGTCAAACTGACTGGTAGTAAAACAAAAATCAAATGTAGGTCTAGCACTTGAATTCAGTGTTTTGGGGTTTAATAAAAAAAAAATCTCAATCTGCACAATTACCTACTATTATAATTTACTAACTTATATCAGGTTGGACTGTACAGAATATTGTTTTATTTCTAATAACTATTTTGTAAATACTACTATACTGTTATTTCATAACTAAATTGCTAAATATATATGTATTTGTAAATACAAAATTAATTAATAAAGTTTATAAGGAGATCTTTGCAATTGCATATTGAGGAATTGTGTCTTTATGCACCCACACTTCACTAGGAGGCGCCAGAATCAATAATAAATAGGTTAAGGTTGAACGTAACCGACACCGCACTTGAAATTTTTTTTTTTTTGAAAATTATGGTTCCACTGGGGTTCGAACCCAGGACCTTCTGCGTGTAAAGCAGACGTGATAACCACTACACTATGGAACCGTGCTAAGAATGCTAATAGCTCTAATACTTTGACAACCCAGTTTCATAATATATGAGGCATCAGCGCTGTCCTACTACAAAGCAGGAGTTGAACCACAAACAATTCAGTTACAGAACGATTTTAAATAGTTACAAAAGTGAATAGAAATTAATCCGAGATTAACTAAACGCAGGACAAGACATTTGTGTAAAAAGTCTGCTTTAAAACGCACATTGGAAAATGCTTCATAAAATAAGTCGTTAGGTTGTAATTTAATATATCTTTCCTGATTATCTATCAATTGTTACAGCACAAACACAAAAATGTTCAACGTTCAAACAACTGGGCCGTCTTTACCGTTAATTCACTGTTTCTAAACGACCTTCGAGGCCGCCATAGACAGATTCAAGGCTAGAGGGCGCTATAGTACCACTAAGCGCTGCACCACCAGACTGAGGAACAGTTTTCTTTCTTTTTACTCCTAAACTGTCCAAGTGTATTAGAATAACACTGACGTGGGAGCGTGGTTATTTTTTCAGTGCAATGACAATATAGATATAATATTCCTAAATTTGTAGAACGTTAATTTAACTTCATTGATAACCCAAAAACATCAACATATTTCATAGCCATATGTAAACTTGATTGGCTGCTGATGAAACCAGCCGATGCTGATTCAACGGGTTATTAGAGTGACTCCAACGTCAACCTCATTAAAACTACTTATAAACAACAACATAAAAATGTGATTATTTGAAACAATTATTCTAATTCATTCGAGTTTGTTTATTGGTGCTGTAGCTGGAGGACTTCTTACCTGAACCACGTACTGCTGGACGGTCCAGATAGACACTGGAAGACGATGGTTTACCGGTGTCAATCACTTTAGACCACGCCCCCATTAGTCAAATGTAAAACACCTGATGCAAGAATTTTAATAATATTTTTAGCTCCAGATTGATGTAAATATTACTTAAAATATCTGATAACTTTTTAAATGATCTACATTTACTAAACATGGTGTTACCGTTGGCAAAAAAAATAAAATAAAACAAATAAAAACACTGCTCAATTTGATAAGCTTTTATTTACATGCAATAGTGCTCCAGCATGTGCAACCATAGAACAGCTGTACGACAAACCGAAGAGGGAGAGTGGACTCAGGAGCTCCTTCATTTTGATTGCAGAAGTAAAAAATAATCCACGGTAACACTTAACGCGCCGACCTGCGAGGGAGGAATAATACTGACGACACCTGTCACAGCGCCCTCACCCGGCTGACTTTTGGTAACCAGCAAAATGAGTAAACACAGAAGTGGTTGCAGTAGAAAGGTTCAGCTTATCCATGACTGAGTTTTTCAAAGACGTTTTCCAGAATCTCTCCCATTCAGTGACTTAGAAATACAACAACACATTTAAAAAAATAAATAACTATACAATATATATATATTTATATATATATATATATATTTATAATCTCTTGGACACTACAGAAACAGACGCACCTATGTTGCATACACATGTTAATAGTTATTTAATGATGATCAAGGCGTAGTTATACGTTTGTGTTACAGCTATACAAAACTGACTGATGTGTCCTGATGAGGCCACACAGAAACCAGGTCTCAATTTCAGATTCTGAGTGTTGGTGGGGGGTCAGTGGGGGGGGGTTCTACAGGAAGTGACCTAACAGGAAGTGCTGGACTGAGGGGAAAACCACTGATCATCTTCACATGAGGAAAAACAAGAGCAGGTCAGCACGAGAATTTTCCCCTTTATCTGTGACGTCAGTGAGCAGGCGAGGAGTGAATAAAAAGTATTTTCTGTTTTTTTTTCAATATGAAAATAACCTTATATACAGTCTAATCATACAATTATGTACAAAGGCATAAATATATAAATATCTGTGATACAAAAATAAATATATTCTCTAATTTTCTTTCTTTTTTCATGAGTCCCTTATGCATCTGTTGTGTTGTCTCTCCCTTCGTCCTCGGGGTTGGCTTCATTTGGGAGGATGTCCACTTCCTGTATCGTTGTGTCATGTGACTGCGGCGTGGTGGCTGTTGAGGACGAGGACGTGGTGAAAATCCCCTCGTCCTCTAGAGACAACAGAGGGAAAGACGCCAGCTCTGCAGAAAGAGGAGCAGGAAATAATTAATTCACGGTTTCACTTCGACACCTGATGATGTCATCAGTCGCCAGTGTTTGAGGAATAAAAAGTCAGTGGTTCAACCAGAATGATGTAAATAAAGGCCATCGTACTTTGCCTGATGTCGTCCTCCTCATCGTCTTTGTCCCCACAGGAGCTGCCGTCACCTCCGAGCTCCTGGGAGCTGAAGTGCTGCTGAGACGAGTGGAGGAGCTGCAGGGAGGAGTCGTCGGCAGGACAGCACGAGTCTTCATGGTGATCTGGTCCACTGGAGAAGATGGGGATAAAAGGTCACTTCATATTAAAGTGTTCCTGTTGTGTAGCAGACACACATTTATTCTAAATGTCTCGTTAACTAATCTATAATTGATGTGACTGAGATATGTACCTGGTGGAGTAGTGGTAGACTGAGGGCAGATGTCCATTGGACACTGTCTGTGGTAACAGGGTGTCACACTCCATGTCACAGTCCACTTCATTCTGTCCAACATAATACAGAAATTATTACTACAACGTCACAAACATTTTTTACGGACAAACAGAGAGAGCTGTGGGTTTTTATCCACGAACCTCCGGCAGCCGCGGCTGACAGTGTGTCGGATGATGAGGTTTCCCATTGGGAGTGTATTCTCCATTAACAGGGTAGACGCCATGAGACGCAGTCATGTGGCCGTCCATCGGGCAGTGGCCCACCAGGGCCAGTCCCTGAAGTGGGACCATGGTGTACTGGCATGAGGACATGGGCGGGGCCACAGTGGGGAAACACAGGTCGGACGTTTGCTCTGAAACAAACACAAAAGAGTTATCACACAAACACACACACACACACACACACAGACGTGACCTCCTGTGTGGGAGGGGCTTAGAATACATTCAGGGACACTCACTCTGTTTGGCCCAGGCTCTCCACAGGCAGAAAGGAACAAAGGTGGCGATGATGAAGACGAAGGTCACCACACTACCAACGATCAGGTACGGAATGTCACCGGGCCGAGGCACCAGTCCAGTCGGAACTTTCCGATCAAGATCTGGAGTCCGGGAAGGATCAGGTCTCTGAGGATGTGGACGAGCTGAGGAGACACAGAGGGTAGAAAAAAAAAAAAACTTTAACACAGGAGGATGGAGATTTAAAGGGGCAGTACACGGAAATGTTAAAAAAACACAACAATACTGTATGGATGACTACAGGAGAAGACAGGTAACCTTATCAAGTAGGCCCAGGAGGTGGCGGTAATGCAACACAAATGATGCCAGCAGACATTTAAACCAACAGATGATAACTGACAGAACCAAAATGCAGGGACAGTGTCATGCAGTTACAGCAGCTGCTGGTGTGGGGGCAGTATTGTTTCAAATGATTAGGAATGAAAAAAGAATGAGGAAGAATAACCTCCTTCAGCCACAAGTAATGCAATATTTAGTCATCTGACCAACAATCAATCATGTTCACCACCTCCTCAACGCTACAGGCACAACACAATTTCACTCCGTCACCTCCAGCTCCAGTGTGAAAGTGCCCTCAGATCATCTGAAGTGAGACAGTCGGTATAACATCTGCAGGCTTGTGCTTCATGTCTTAAAAATAGCCTCACCCTTGGTTTCCAGGATGACGACGTTCCCAAATTCACTCTCCCCTTTCTCGTTGAAGCTCTGCATCTTGATGTCGTAGGCGGTCTCGGGCTGCAGGTCAGTGATGGAGTGCCAGTATCTGTCTCCCTCCACCACATCCTTCTTATAGTCACTGTCATTGTCACTGTCTGTTGGCCGGTAGTAAATGTAGAAACCATAGATGGGTGTGTTGTTTACGGGAGTGTACTGTTGACAGAGAGCAGAGAAATCCATCATGAGATAATTACAGTGGACTTCAGAGACGCCGGTTCAGATGACAGCAGAGAAGGACAAACATTTTCCTTTTTCGTCTCGCAGACACTCACCGTCCACTTGAGAATGATGGTGGTCTCGTTGATGGCTTCGTTGTAGGTGATGTAGGGTCCGTCCACGGGGCGTTCGTGAGTCCGACCGCCCACAACGGTGTAGGCCTTTGAAGGAACACTGGGAGGACTGGAACCGATCACATTCACCGCCACCACACGAAACTTATAGGACGTACCTACAGGGAGACATAAGTGTTACTGATGTGTCCCGGGGGGCTGCGGGCTGAGCTGAGGGGAGCGCGCACACACCGAGTTGGCTGACTAATGATGTTTATTTTCACATTACTTTATGTTTTTCTTCTGAGAGTGAGTGTGGTGTTGATTGTAATTCAGCTGCAGCTCTGATTGATGGCTGCAATTACTGGGACGACTGTAACAACACTCATTACACTGATGAATTTATGGGCCGTGGGAATGTAATGATGCAGGACATCGTCTTTGTAATTATATAGAAGAGCGGCCTCCTCCCTCACGCCTCCACTCAGTCAGAGTAAACTGTTGTGTATAATGCACACTCCTTTTAGGAGCTTTTTTTTTTTTTTTCATGATGGCCGACCTTTCTCCAGGCCCGTGATCTCCACAGAGAGCCGCGACGGCGGGATGTTTTCCACCGCCGTCATCCAGTCCTCTCCGGCCTTCTTCACCTTCTTGTACTCCACCCGAAATGACTGGATGGGGAAGCCACGGTTACCGCGAGGAATCCAAGTCACGTATGAGGACGTCTCTGTTGCCGTGGAGACCGTGGGCTTGTCCGGAGCCTCGGGAGCTGCAAAGGAGGAGAAGCGGTGTCAGGCGGAGAACAACAACAGACAGACAATGGCGTTATGTAATTATAAAAAAAATAAAACACACACACACACACACACCACTTACTCAAAGCTCATCCTTCAGTGACAGAGAGGAAAGAGAAACTGAGAAAATGTTGGTTAGCAGGAGAAGGGTTAGCAGTTTCACTTATCACAGCAGGAGTTTATGTCATTGTTAGTCTTGTTAATTGGTCACAGGAGCACAGCAGCTACAGGGAACTCACCAGAGAGGCTGGGAGAAGGAACAGATGGAGTTTTGGGAGGATCGTGCCCTCCAACTTTCCGAACTGTGGAGTGAAGAACATCAACAATCTCTGTCAACAACTGTAGTCTGAGCCTATCCAGTCAGAGAAAGGCAAACAATATATAAACCCCCCATATATGAAGGTAAACACAGTGAAGGACAACTATAGACTGGACGTCAGGGTGAAGGTTTTACAACAATAATTGTAAACATGTTTGATTACAGCCTCTTTTAACAGATATTGATTCGTCTGGGACTACTTTAAGCTGTGGATGGATACATCAAAGTTGTAACGTGACTTTTCATAGCTGCAGGATTTTGTAGGTACACGTGGTTACGTAACGTTCGTAGCTGCAGGATTTTGTAGGTACACGTGTGTGAAACTTTAAATGTTCTTCCACAGTAAATGCTTATTATCATTATTAGTTCTTATTACGACTGATCCAGATTCTGATCGTGATTGCGACTGTGTCGTACATTTGCCGGTTCTGAAGGTCATCATGGCAGGTTGGCCCAAACCAGCACAGTTCTTAGCAGTCATCTCCACCTCATACAGGCTGTCGGGCTGCAACTTAGCCAGGGTCAGTTTATGGAGGGAGCCTGAAATTCTACTGGACTCCCACTCTGCAAGAGGGTCTCCAAACTGGAGCAGGGACAGAGAAGATGAACTGAGGATTAGAAATAGCCAGAAACTTCCTGTACAGCACATCAAGTTACTTTGGAAAGCTTTACATTTTTAACACATCTTGTGAATTGGGTTTACCTTTCGGTATTTGACCATGTACTCCAGAACTGGGGCTCCTTTCTCGTGCCGCGGCCTCCAGGTCAGTTCGTAATAGTCGGCCTTGCCCGTGCGTGGCTGACTGAGGATGACGGGAGCTTCTGCAGGAAGGATCTGTCCTGGCAGCTCAGAACAGTCCAGAGGTAACATGGCTCCTGTAGCTCCAGGTCTCACCGGAGGCTGCTCTTTTAGTACTTTATCTGGACTGAGTGGTCGATAAACGGAGGGTAACTTCCCTCTGGTGGAAATCCCTAAAAAACAGGATCAAGTAGTTGTAATGGTTTATAATCCCATGAGACAATGGCATTTCTGATGAATGATGAAAGAGAACTAACCTGTTGACACCATGATGAGACGAGTAGACGCCTGTGAGCTGCCCACGCCGTTCTCAGCCATGCACTGGTACAGTCCCTCGTCCTGAGGACCCACGTTGGAGACGCGCAGCATCCTGGACGTGAGGCGGTGGCGAGGTGACGGAGAAAGAGGCCGGGCGTTGTGGAGCCACATCACAGACGGGGCGGGTTTACCCCGGGCCTGGCAAATGATGCGAACATTATCTCCAAAAACGACCTCCTGCTGCTGTAGCTCCACGGTCACCTGAGGAGGCTCTGGAGGAGGCAGCAGAGAAAAGGAGTCAGGAGAGAGAAGCCCACTGTGGAGCAGACATTAGGTCTGTTCATATGGTGACATATATCATGTCAACATTTTTAAATAATGCTTCAAAGAAGTGTCATGATGTTTGATTAAGTGAAACCAAACAATTAAAAGTGAATTTAATTTTTCTCTCCAACTTATTGCCCATTAATCATTGTCATTCACTAACTCTGACAATGCCACATGTTTTTAGGATCTTGTGTGCGTGTCTACTTGACAACCGTGCCCCAGTGTGGTTATGACCAGGGGGCAGTGGGGTGGGGGTAAGATGGTGGTGGGGGTTTATGCAGAGTCAGGCCAGGTAGTTGATGGTTGGCTGCTTGTGAATAAGGGAAAAGACAGAGCTCATTTCAGCTTCAGCAGCTTTCTGGCTTTAATTAGAGCCAGCTGCAGGAGGCGGTGGGGGGGAGGGGGGGGCCCACAACACACACAGACACACAAGTTGATACACACCCAGAGAAAATCACTGAAAAAACAGTCATCCATAATTTTGCAATCAAGTTTTGCTGCAGAATAGAGAGCCCTGTCTCCACCACCTCTTTTCTAACACAACACCGCCCAGGCTCCTCACACAAACTCACACACAACAAACAATAAACAGTGCTGTCATTTGTGTCCACCCAAACAGGAGTCAGTCGAACTCATAAATCCCGTCATAACTCTTCGAACAAACTATGTTCACTGTGAAAGAGGGTCTTTACAAAACAAATCAGTTTTTATAAACACAAATTGGATAAACACACAAAAACAACTTGTTCATAGTTCACTTACCAAACACTTGTACGTCATACACCCCGGCCGCACCGCCGGAGGAGCCGATACCGTTGTCCGCGCGGCAGACATATGTCCCCGAGTCGCTCTCGCCAACTGCACCGATCAGGAGGTTGCTCAGCAGGGAGCGCGTGTTGTTCTGAAAACGCAGGTCCTGTCCATCTTTGGCCCATGTGACCAGTGGAGTCGGAATGCCACTGGCCACACACTCCAAAACCAGCCGCTGGCCTTTGGTCACGATGATGGAGCGGGATGCTGGTGGGTAAATGATGCGCGCTGCTTCAGAGGTGGAGCCTGGAAAAGATGAGGGCGGTCAAATCCCTGGAATCTTCTACTGGACTCTGTTTGTTGTGGTCAACATTAAACAATGACATCAATCCCAAAGTAGTCTAAGATTTTGTATGTTGTCACCTCAGACTGAATGTATTCTAGCACGACTGCAGTGAAAGCATCAAATAAACTGTGTGGAAAAATAAAAAAAAACTCCACACATGTGGAACACATGTTCCTAGGCAAGCATTTTGAAGCTCTTGAAGTGTCTTCTGATGTGGTTTCTCACTGAGGGAGTGGATAATATTTCAGAATGAACTCTGACACCTAATGGCTTTCAATCATATTCAAATCAACACTTCAAAATTCCGTCTCCACTCCTCTACGTCAGAGATGGTGACTTACGGCGGATGCGCAGGCGGTCGGCAGAGGAGGACGTTTTGACTTCCTGAGTGACGGGGTTGTAGGCAGCACATTTGTACGGTCCCTCGTCGTCTCTCGTGGCGTTGGCTATCTGCAGGTTCCCTGATGGCATGATGAGGTAGTTCCCTGCAGGACACAGCAGAAGTTTGAGTGGGTTTTCCGTACGTGACAAACATTAAAACAAAACACAAATCACAAACTGCTGAGGGCGCTGCCCAGTGCTCATAAGGCAGCCTTTCCATTTCAGCAAAAACTAAAATAAACAAACTGACAGGATGTGAAGCTGAGGCTAGGTGTGATTTGCAACCTGGGATAAAGGGTCTTCATAAAGACACTGAGCAGCTGAAACCAAATCTTTCACCACATGGTGGTTCCGAGAAAATTAATTTCTACTCACAAATCCACAGCCTACATTTTACTGCAATTGTTAACGAAACAAAAAAACTCCACCTCTTAGTTGTACGAAACAAAAAAACTCCACCTCTTAGTCGATGTCTGGGTTAACACAACAATCTAATCATTTCTTTCATGGCCTTATATGCATTCCCAGAACATTTAATCCATATTTGACTTTTTCACTATTGCAGCTCACTGGCCATCTCTTACAAAAACATAACCTTCTCGACTGAGGTAACAAAACAAAAGAGAAACCGCAGAGAAATCAGGTCCTTATTGTGAAACTCGTTGTAACAAGATTCCTACAGTTTGAGCTTTTCTCGTGCATGTCTGCACTGCCACCACTGGCCACAGGGAGGAGCCCGACAGTGACCATCAGCAGCCTGTGACTGCCTGTCAATGTGGTATTCATTTCCTCACAGATAAGCTGCAGATATCAGTACCTACAGCTTCCAGGCATCATCAGCATTCCAGACCCAAACCACTGGAGCTTTTCTTTGACTTCCAGACGACTTAGACGCAAATAGTTTGAAAAATAAACAGCTGCATTCCCATGTTTCAACATTACTGATAATCCCCTTATCACTGGATTTATAATGGGTCAGATAGCAGGATTATTGCATTCCTGTAAATTATCACGATAGTATGGGAATGAATGTGGAAAAAAAAGGGCAGAGAAAGAGAGCGTGGGTGTTTATAAGAGACTGGTACCTTTTGACGTCTCCAGCCACTCCTGCTTCACACTGTAGCGGACCTGAGCCTTGGGCTGGCTTTCAGGCAGGTGACACTCGATGACAGCCGTGTTGCCTTCATCCACCTCGATTTCCTGCTGGTCATCGGGCTCAAAGTCCCGCAGCTCTGGAAAAAACAAAAACAAAGGGATGTCAGCGAGGTCACAGCGCACGCAGGTTCAGTTTTGTACGAAAGAAAATAACATCAAAATTCTAACCAAATATGACCTTTGTAAAAACAATTGCTCTACACTGAGCCATTAATCACGCGAGGCATATTCCCACAACCTTGACTGTCTCCCATAAGACATTTGTTTCCCACAGATTGTCCCATCATGATAAAATTCCCTCGTCAGAAATCCACACAGGCTGTTTTTCCCCAGGATCACTCATTTCATCGTCACTGTGGATGAGTCTAAATCTTTAAGAGTGGAGTCTGTAACATGGGAGAAGGTGACGTTAATCCTCCCCAACATTATACTGGGACCGGAGCCAGTGGAGACTCTGTGGGAAACGGGGGAGTGAGATTACTGGGGCCATGTGCTGCGACTGTGTCCCACAGACACACAGTCTGCACAGAGCAGACACTCATCTGACCCCTGACCCCGTAAATCCCCACCTGAGCAGCCGGGAGGCCTGGCCGCAAGGTCAGAGGGGAGAGGTGTGCGTCCTATTGGGTTTCAGAGAACGATACCTAGTTTGGTTCAGAGGAGGCAACGACAAAACCCTGCCTTCAGGGAACCAGAGGGGGAAATAACTTGGTAGGGGACATGCTGCAATTTTATAGATTTGAGGCAGGATGAAAATAACAGGCCAGTGGAAAAGAACAGGGGGAAGGTGGGGGGGTGGAGAGTGGCCTAACAACTTGATGAAATTTGTCATGTTGCAGTCCAGCAGTGAAATGAAAGATAAATAAAACTTGTCGCGGAACATAATTAAACATCTACCAGCTTGTGTTGATTTATTCTCAACAAACACAGGCTCTCTTCATTCTTTCCAGAGGTGCTATAACTGCTGTGTTTTTCTTGGACGGGCCACACTCTGGCAGAATGAAGGACTAGGCTGCAGGTAAATACAGCGCAGCGAGCTAATGAGGCTTTGTGTGCAGCTTTTACTCAAATACTCACATTTATAGCAGTAAAATCAACTAGCAGTGTTGATATTACGGTGATTTACTTGTCCTGTGTTTTCATCAACAAATCAGATTCAAGGTCTTTCCACCTGAAATAACCAAATGTTCACACAGTAGGTACTTCGAGCCACGCAGAGGCGATGGACGGTCTCAGACTTGGACTTTGTGTTTTTTTTTTAATGTACTCTGACTCTGTCAGTTGGCTCCTCACAAATGCCCTGCAGTTGCAGCATGAAATAAACAAGTGGCATTGTTACAGTGGGTCGTGTACAGTGTCTTTTACTACCGACTCTCTCTTAAACTAAACATGGAGGGAAGGAATTTAAAGCAGCGCTTGAACAAAGACGGTTAAAATTTAAGACACAACCGCAAGTTTTCAACATTCATTTTCTTATAAATAAATATAAAAAGGAAACATAAATATAAATATAAAAGGGAAAAACCCCATGATGCAAAGTACTCATCTTTAAACGTCAACCAGTTAAACAGGCATGAGTAATAAGAGTAATAACCAGGAATTGTGGCTTTCTTCTGCTTACACAATTAAATCAGCGCTGATTGGACTCTGTTCCTGCCAGACTTCTTTGGTCTCATTGTAATTCCTTGACTAATAGACAAATACATTTTCCCATCATTTAGCCCCATGTACCTACTTATTATATTTCTTTTTTTTTTTGTTGCAGAAATTATTAGTCGACAAAATCAACAGCGTCTGACTCCAATGTTTAGTTAAGACAACAACAGTATCTGGTGACAATAGCGTCCACTGTGATTTACTCAAAGCTCTCTCTCTGTGAGACGCTGATTTGTTCACCAGGAGTCTTTAAACCTGTCGCTGCACATTCATCTGGACATCAAGTTTTAAACACTCTCAGACAGATGCACGTACACACACACACACTCACACACACACATTAACCTCCATCTCCGACTGTGTTTCAGCTCTTAGTCTGTAAGATGAGAATCCCAGCCAGGACATGTCAACTTAAGTAAGAGTCTGTGTAAGTGTGTGTGTGTGTGTGTGTGTGTGTGTTAAGGGAAAAGGGCCGTGTGGCGCTCCATTTGCTAAATCAATCAGGTGCTGTTTTTACAGCCAAACCCCTTCCCCTCCCCTCCATCCCCCTCCTGTCTCCCCCTCTCTTCCTATGTACCCTCCTTCATCCTTGGTCTGCCAAATCCCCCCATCACTCCACTGTCCCGCATTCTTCACAGGAACATCCCCCCATGTGTGCCTCTCAGGTGTATGTGCATACATTTATGTGTGTGTGTGTGTGTGTGTGTGTGTGTGTGTGTTACAGTGGTGGAGGATTGATGGTATTCATAAAGTGAAGCAGACCTCCCGCACCCGGGCTGTTTGGCAAAGCTGACTTAAATATGTCTAGAGAGAGACGGTGCATTCATCATCTTAATGTGTAGCAGCAGGAGGCCTGCGTTGTTGTGCGTCTGAATTACAACGTGTTTGTGCGGCGTTTTGTGCTGCGTTTCGACGCTGCGCAGCTACACGTCTATATTTTTCTGCAGCTCAAAGGGGGCGGGTGATTGTCTGCACAAGAATTCAAACCAGGAGCTTTCAAGTCATGCCAGAGGAGCACAGATGCTTCAGAGTCAGATAGCATGGAGTGTCTGGAATCAACTTCTTCTGATCACAAAAAAACATGTGCACGCAACTAAGAGGCCTTTAATGGAAAGGCAAGCACGTACTCCCTCCCCATGGAGCAATTCCTGAGGCGGTCTGGGGGTGGCCAAGGAGAGAGGGTTATTAAATTAGAAAGGGTTTTTTTTGGAGGGGGAGTCAGGGCGTCCAGGACAACGCCACGTGAGGTTATCTCAACACGATTCATCCTCTTTCTTGTACCATCGATAACTTTTAATCGCCTCAGTGCGTTCTTGTTCCACATGCGAGTGTAATCACAGCTTGACTTAATATCACTCTGTGAGGACGAGAGGGGAAAATAGCAAAACGACAGTGAACATAAAAGTTGGGGGGGAAAGTGAAAGATAATGACAGGAGGATCGGAGAGGAAGTGTGACAGGGTGAAGAGTGAAAAAATGTGTGAAGGAGGAGAAACATGTGTGTGAGTGTGTGAGTGTGTGTCATGTTGTAAAGAGAATGTGACATCCCATCCCTTCTTGCTGAGGATCTTGTCTTAACAGGCCTGAAACACTTCTAGTTCCTTCCAGCTATGGCAGCCTCATGCATCAAATCACATCACTACATGTAAAACAACTCAGTTAATAGAGCTGATTTTTTTTTTTTTTTAACCCAATAATGTGTTTTAGTCAGGCATACACCCATATCCCCTGTCCACCCCCACACATCTTCATCCAACCCTCTACTCAATTAGGGGCCATAATTTCTGCCAAGCCCTGCTGTCAGGGCCTGTGGAGAGGAATGTGGTGTTGTGGGGAGTAAAGGGGCCAGAGCAGTTAGGGGAGGGGGTGGGGGGAGAGGGGGCCGGCCCAGGCTGAGTTTTGGTCCCTTCTCACTGCCCCGGCCGGCCCTAGCCCCAGGGTCCCCTCCATTCCTCGAGCTCAGGTTACACAGCTTCAGGCCCCCTCCTGAGTCCCATGATGCATATCAAATATAACAACATGCACTCGGAGCAGGAAAACTATAAAAATGTCAGGACGGAGAATGATTCACTTTAGGTCCATTAGATCAATACGACACTGCTCCACCACAGCTGTTGCCTAATAAATACAGTCTGACTGTTATTAATCAATGATGTGCAACGGTTTCCCGTTGTAGCTGGAACTTTTTTGACTTTAGAAAACAATGTGAGATTCTATGATCTTGTGTATTTTTTCGTTCACCATGAAAATTGAGTAATTTTACAGTTATGTCAAGTTAGACTTAAAGGTTGAATGGAACTTGTTCACTAATTTAATGTCATCGTTCCACTATCATTAGATTTGCGTATGACAAGCACCAAAACAAACTCAAAGACTAAAACAAACACGTCAGCTCTAAGCAGGTTAGTAACTTAAATCATGGGTTTAGTCAATACAACAAAGTCATTGAACATCTTTTCTCTGACATACAGTGTCTAAGGTTGGCCAACGGGGTGTGTGTGTTTGTTGTCATTTGGTTTCTACTCACTGGCAGCTGTGACGTTAGCAGGAACACTGGCCAGGGCTCCAGCACTGGTGCTGGCCACACACTGGTACCTCCCCAGGGTCAGATTGGACAGCGAGGGGATGAAGAGGCCGCTGGGCCCCAGCACCACACCGAGGTCTCCATCCAACAACTCCTGGCCGTTATGTCGCCAGCTGATGTTGGCAGAGGAAGGGCGAGCGCTGCAGCGCAAGTTCACACTGCCCCCCAACTTCTGCACCACAGACACGGGCTCCTCAGTGAAGAAAGGGTCCTCATCTGAAGAAGGGATTCAAACAAGACAGTCGAATCAGAAGATGGTCAAATATTGGTTTCACATCACTGTGAAGTGATGTGAAAGCATTCATCAACATTCATCTTTGCTGTCCTGGACTAAAGGTTCAGTCACTGCAGCTCTAGTGTATACAGAGTGTCAGCACACACACACCACCTAGTACTTCAGATATATTTTTAAAAATCTGCTGTTGCTGCTGACAGACACATAAAACACTTCCCTGCCTGTGAGCCACAGGGTTTTTTTCCTGGCAGAGTTAACACTGTACCAGGTGTCTGGAAAAAAACTAATGTAAAGACATTAGTTGTACTTTTTTTCCCAATAGTACATCCCTACTTAAGTTTTATATACATGTTTTTAAAGCAATTGCATGGCTAATGTTGGGCAATAAGGTATAAAAAGGGTATACAGTACATATTTCTTTTGCTTTAACTTACCAGTTATCGAGGCGCTGCTCTGTAGGCAGCATAGGAGTACTGCGCCCAGAGCACACAACACTGGAGCCCTTTTCTTTTTTGTCCACTGAGTCCAGTCTCTCTTTCCAGACATCTTCCATACACTACCCCCTGAAACACAGAAAACACACACAGAGGGGACGAGGTCAGGATGATTTATAACTCACTGTTCACTCACAACAAACAGCGGGATCCATTTTCTACTGACTCCGACACAAGAGCAGCACACAGTTAAAAACAACGCCAAAATAATTAAACTGTTAAGCAGACAATTTTTGAAAGCAGCGCCAGTCTGAAATTTTACTGGGACTCATCCACGTACACAACTATGCCTCCATTAGGGAAACACAACCCAGGCCAGGACGCTGCACTCAGCAGCTCTCACAGGAGCCAAACTCCATAGACAAACAGAGCCTTTCTTTTCTATCAGCCCCCATCCCAACGCTGACCCCATCTCCTCCGCCTGTACCCGCACCCATCCAGCCTGCATTCATCAAAGGGGCGCCCTTATTCTGCGTTCCGCAACCTGACCCCTCCACCTTCCCGCTCAGGTGTAACTGATACAGGTAGAGGGTCCAGGAGGAGGAGGGTGGGGCGGGAAGGGTGGAAGGGTTGAAAACACACGGGCTGGTTTAAAGAGTCAGGACAAAGAGAAGCTAATGAGACACAAGGACAGGAGATGGAGAGTGGGTGTGGGTGAAGGAGTGGTGGGCTCAACGACACCTCAGCATTGTATCTATTAGAAGGAAAATGTAAATTATGCTCAGTCTATTAACAGTTTATACACAGAGAAGATTTTCTCGCTCCTCGTCGATTGCTGCCAAGTTTCCTGAATTCTTTCCTGTCAGGTTAAACTAACAACTTCCCGTGAGATTCAGGAGGGTGGTCCAGCAGAACTGAACCTCCCTCTCTCCCCCCTCTCATACATACTGTACATACATACAGTAGTAAACAGAAATGCACACATACACGTAAGCGCGGGCCAATCTACTGTTTCTCCACAGTAAAAATTGGAACAGCACAAAACTTTCTCATACATTTTTGTCTGTTCTTTTTGTGGCAAGGCCATGATTAATGAAGCCCAGAGGCAGGGGACTACACATACACCACAAACACAACACACACACACGCATACACGCACGAGGGGCCAAAGCAGGACAGCCAGAGAATGGAAACTCTTACTCCACCTCCATCAACTAATGGCAGCAGTTTCGCTGCCTGGCACATACGTTGACAGCGAACAAAGCAACGCGCTGATGGAAAAGCAGCTGTTATATACAAACTGACACACTGGCCACACATCACTCTGCTGGATTTTACTTTAACACCGAGCTGAATACATTTTATACAGAGGAAAGACTAACAAACATCTAAACCTGAGGAGAATATCCGTAACGACGTATTAATTAACCAGCTACGGATACAAAATCTACAAAGACGCTGCAGGTGTGTATTACAACGTTATAATATAAACAATATCAAACCCAACAGTAGCCGTTTTAACACTGAACATACGGAGCAGCATTAGCGTTTATTTAGAAACTCATTGCTGTCACCTAGCTGATCCGAGTCCAATATTGAACCACGTCTCAGCGCTGCTTTGATGAACGGATTCACTGTGTGTCCCAGCTGGTCACTTTATGCTCTTTATGCTCAGTTTATTCTGCAATTCAAGAGCCTATTTAACTTTAAAACAGCGTCCTGGCGCTGGACACAAAGCTGATGAGAGCTGCAACTGAATCTGGACCAGAGGAAAAAAATAGTGACCAAAACACTGCCAAGAGTTGAGGGGAAAAGCAATTGTGGCTTCCTGACCACAAGTGACCTCTTTCACACACAAGCAGCTATGTGGCCATTTATATAAAATATGCTGCAGCCACTTTTAGCTACAAAAACTGTGGGATCTTTGTCACAATCTTTGAAAATCCAGAGATTTGTTGCTTTTCTCTGTTAAATAACTGCAGCATGTTATTTGTTTACTTTTGCTATGTCATTGAAGAGTAAAAAAAAAGGTACATTTCTGCTGATATTTCAAATATTTTAACGCAAAAAAAAAAGCACAGTTGCAGAGCTGTGTACATGACTGGTCTGCTCAAAGTGGCCCATCAGTAGCGGGCTAACTCAGTCAACAAACAGGAAGCTACTGTGGGATGAGGAGTGAGCATAGGTGAAGGCCTGTGGCTTCTGTGGCCCGCGGCTGTATGGACACAACCCCGGGACAGCTGCCCATAAAGGACACACTCATACGTATCGAGCACCTGTCCGGGCTGTGGGAGTCACTAACCACACCAAACAGCCTGCCCACTGGGCATGGACGCACAGCGAGAAATGCTAGCTCAGCCGTGACACGTCTCATCTGTACGGTTTGTGTCTGTTTTATTACAAAATTAAAGCAGAGACAGAAATGGAGTTGGGGTTTTTTTTTTGTAAGAGGCAGCACGAGGGAAACACTCATACATCACCTCCATGAACAAAAGTATAACCATACTCCTCTGAGTCTGTCAGTCAGATTCATTAATCAGCCAGGTTCTGTGTTTGCTTAACAGATACCATGGCGTAAGATGAAAAGTTGGCCTGACATCTGTGCTCAGCTTTTTCCATCCATCCCAGAAAGGTCAGAAGCAGAGAGACAGAGGAGCCTCCTCCACATCGGGGCGACTGATAAAAACCAGAGCATAAACACAGACAGCTCCTCTAAATTAAGAGCAGAGGAGTTGTGCAAGTGTGCGTGTGAGTTTTGTTCCCTACCAGCAACGGAGAGCAGTGCACGGCTAACACTTGCAGCTTTGTGGTATTAAAGCATTTTTCAGTGACAGCGCTATGATGAGTGCTGTGTGAAATCTTCAGAAACCTGTCAGTTCCACAGCACAAGTATGATTACTGTTTGCAGAACTATTTCAGCATTCATGCAAAAGTACTGAGACTTGAATGCAGCCAGACTCCCTAAAGACTTGACTTGAGAGACAGGGAGACATTAAAAAACAGGCCTTTTTTTATTTTGATGTTTATTTCATCAATATTTTTATTTATTTTTAATTCGGTAAGAATGTGTTCTTTGTGTTTATTTCATCAATTTTTTTTTTTAATTCGGTAAGAATGTGTTCTTTGGCCCAAAACCTCAGGGCAATGTTTTACCCATCCTTGGGCTGCTAAGGAACAGATTTAAGTTGATAAATACACATCATATACATCTCACTAAAAACATTAACATGTGTAGTTTGAAGACAAATTAAATAATTCAAAACTAATGGCATGTCGAACTGGAACAAAACAGCTTGGCTTTAGATGGAAATTATTAAAAATAATAAATTCCTTCTGCATAACAAGACCCAAAAATAGTTTATTGTATAATATATCTACAAAGGAGCTCAGGCAAAATGGAATCAGTTTCTCACTGACTTTTGTTACAAGAAAAGAAAAATCAGACGATCTGGTATGTTGGGAAATCTTAGCGTCTGCACAGCCTTGCACATGCTGTACTAATTCACTAGTAGCATGTTGTCAATTACATTTTTGGTGCCACATAAATTCCTTCAAACACGCTATCCTTTACATTCAAACAGTTCCAATGCAGTGAGTAACGCACGCTTTAATTTGGGGCCAAATAAGTTCACGGAGGCTGAAGTCAGGATTACGAATCTGTATTGTTGGAAGGAGAACGCAGTACAATGGTCAACGGCTTTGTCACTTTAATGGTCAGCACTCACAGACCTGAGAGCATCTCAAATTGTATTTCTACTTGTGAAAACTCGACCCTCCCCTCCTGAACTCAATCTTGTTTTGAATGACCGTTGACTTGAATTGGTGCCAGTTCAATAGGCTTAAACACTGCAAATGTCCGCAGGTGTCCGTGAGTGAATTCATGTGCGACATCTGTGGTATACTGTAAACACGCTGTGGAGAATGCAGAGAGAAGGTTTTTGAGGGAAGTGTGCAGACATGGATCATGGGTGTAGGTATCCGAGTGCCTTATATGTCGCTGTGCTGGAGAGTCACTTGACAGAAGTTCATTGTGAGCGTGCTAAGTAAAGACACCGGGGCCCCTGTTCTCCCGGACCACTGCCGGTCCCATTGTCCTCTTGCCTCCAAGGATAAATTCATTTTGACAACCCTGCTAATTGGATAAAACCAGACTGGAGCCTCCTCCCTGAGCTCTCACATTCCATCTGCTTTCTGGCATGGAGAGAGGACACATAGAGGAGGGGAGGAGGTGGAAGTGTAGCAGGATAGTAACTCCTTCTGAGGAGTTGAGCTGTTGAATATTTATCGCCTCCCCAAACTCCCCTCCTTCCCCAGTTTTACGTCTTTTTACACCCCGTGCCCCCTCCTTCTCCTCCTCCTCCTCACCATCGAGGTTCTCCAAACACCACAAAGCCCCCCTTTAGATAAACACATGCAGTGTCAAGTGTGAGGAGTGCCGGGGGTTCAACTGCCCTGCTCAAGCCCGCGGTCCACAATGCCATTCTGCATAGCTGCCATGCGGGAGGCCGGTTGCCCCTGGCGACACTAACAGGCAGAACGCACCTTAATAGAGTGGAGAGTCATTGTAAAGCAGTGAGCCGGTGCACGGACAAAGACCCCGTGGACCCTAGTAGAAAGGGGAGACGCTGCTCTGAAGGGCCCGGGGAAGAGCTGATGGGCCTTACTCAATGACCAAAAAGAAGAGAAGGGGGGGGGGGCTCAATGACCAAGAGGTTTGAGAGTAATACGTGGAGAGTTTGAGGAGGCGGGGAATGATAGGAGATGGGTGAAGGGGGTTTATGGTAGAGGTTGGAGGGGGTGAGGAAAGAGAGGTTGGCTGAGAAAGCAGAGCAGCGACTCTAACTAATAGAGAGGATGTCAACTGGCAGGCGAGCAGGAGGAGAGAGCAGGGCCTCGTCAATGAGAGGGTGTGTTTGAGAGAGCGTGTGGAAGAGTGTCACTGAATGTCCCAACATATTTTCCCCTCACTCCTCAATCTGTTTGCTGGCCTCTCGCTCTGGCCCGGGTTGGAGCCGAGTGGCGGAGGATGAGGAGGGTCCACATATTGCTTAACAAACCATGAACACGGCCGGTTTACCATCCAGCAGAAAAAAGAGCAGCAACAAAGCAACACCATGTTCATATAGTCT